CAGAAAGGCAGGCTCAGGGTTCTAATCCGGAGAAATGAAATGAAATCTTTTTTTTAGCAATGAATTTAACCCACATTGCTCCCGTACAGCCAGCCGAGAAACGGGTAGATCACCGTTCACTTGCCAACAACAGGGTAAGGTAGCATTCCGGTATTATCATACCAGAATGGACAAGGTTCACTGCCATTCTGTCTGATGAGACCGTGACCTGTGGCTACACTTAACTCTGACCCAACTAATAGCTGACTATCCATCGCATGAATCAGCACAAAAAGTGTAAACCGAAAAAAACGTTTCGAGTTGTAAAGCAACAAAAAACATGGCAAATTAACCGTCCACAAATGCTTTTGTATCTCAGATCTGGAAAGTAATCAAAAAGGAGTTGAATGTCGTATAATTGTCCTTAAATTTGATCTTGAAGCACAAGTACGTACAAATCAACATTGACTGTGAAGAGGTAGACAAACTCGGATGTCGATTTGTCTGAACATTTCTTATTAACTCCTACGTTGCGTGTTTACAGACTTCCATGACTTCCATGATAACTGATGACATGGCTTGACTCTTCTTTCGTAAACTATTTATGCAATATGACACTTGAGGTAGACGCGCTATAATATGAAACGTTGGCCAAACTATGTTTAACGTAATGAACTTCTACATATGAAATAAAGCGCTATGTACCTACATAATGAGAAAGTATTAATTTTAAACCTGATTGTAGCTAAGTATAAAACAAAGGCAGCATGCCATTCTTGCAGCACTGTTTCTTTATGCAATGCATATGTACTTTTGGCTCACACTGCATATCCTACGGTGACTGTACGTTGTTACAGCGCAATCGTCTGTCACAAATTACCATATAAAATTCAGTGGCGAATGAACGAAAATCAATCCTCTAAAATCTTACGTTTCTGCCAACGGATAGGTCGAGCCATCCAGGGAACCGGTGGTCGATTCTTTCCGCGTTTCGTAACAAAAACAGTCGACGACCTCCGGTTGGTTGTGGCACAAGAGGTTCGTCTTCGGCAACGTTGCCAATGACGGAATACCGCTCGGAACTCACTGTAGATGGCGGAGGAAGCTGAGCGATCCTCGACATTCCTGAGGTGTGCGTTTCTTCCGACATAGTCAACGATTGCACTTGTTGAAGCGCTACCGTTGTTTCTAGAAACAGACTGCTCTCCTGAATTACGGTAGCGTAACTCTCTAGTGCTTTGCCGGAATTTTCGCGAGACACGGTTGGACGTTCAGTAGGCTTCTTGCTTGCTACAAAAAAGCGAAACAAACAGCGATGAAACGTGAAGAACGGATAGACACGTTGAATCGTACTAGCACCAGTCGGTGGCTGCGTCGCCATCGATTCGACATCAGCGACCGTATCCGTGGCGACTTGACCATCCGGATCCTGAGCGATCAGTGATACGTTCGAAACTGGCAATGGCTGTGACGTCGTGCTGGATTGCCTGACGGCTTTCACAGTCGATGAAGTGGAGGATTGAATTGGTGATTCCCGGAAGATGGAACCGTCACCAGCATCGGCTGCCAAACGATCCGATGAGTCTACAGTATCTTTGGGCGAGGTGCTTGGCCTATCAGAGAGTTCGAGATAACTGGGAGTGCCTGAAAAATCGCAACATGATTCGCAGGCAATATGAAATATGGCGTGCTATATTTTGCGCTCAGCTGATGGTGGAGATTTCAAGCGTACCTGTCCCTTGTTCTGATGATGGTTGCGCTCGTAACCTCCTGCCTTGAAAGTCGGTCGATTGACCTTCGGCTGGAGTTGGTTCATTGACGTCTTGTTCAGAATTTTGTACAACCGACCCCAAGACTTGATCCACTGTCGATATGCCTGAAGATGGCACTGCCCCCTCAGCTTGCACATGTTGGAGGTTTTCTGATGTGGTTGATTCAGTCGACCGTTGACTAAACGACGCTTCCAAAAGGCTCTCATTGTTCCTAGTGCTGATCTGATTAGTCGCAGCGTCACGACGATTGTTTCCTAAGTGAGCTGGACCGGTTGGCATAGTTTTCTTTCCAATGATACAGTTCAGAGCATGTCTAATCAAGAAACTGACACAAGAAGCTTCAATGTACTTGTGTTCATTTTCGGCGTCTTGTATCACAATGAAAACATAAAATCCAACAAGCACTGGTTGTAAACCGGGTAGTACAATTATAATTATTCCGTTTCCAGGTTTTAAACTGATTCGCTAAATTAATATTATTGCGCATTGTAAAATGCTTGCTGACCTCTAAACCTTCGTCACCATAAAGCTACATCACTGCAGTGGCAATCGGAGTCGACAGGACTTTGTACGTCTTTATGGACAGCCCGTAGTCTGTGAGAAAGACTTATGAATACGCGACAAGAAAATGGGAATGATCACATCGTTCATATTGCTCTTCAAGAAAGCACGACAAATGCGGTGTTCACTTTTCGATGAGCGGTCCATTTCAAAGTATTCTGGCAATGGACTCGTTTATTTCAATGCAGATAAATTCATCTGTAACGTTGCTTGATCCAGAATAATGAGCAAAACTTCACTTTCAATACATCCAAGGGTGCATTATTATCACAATCACCGCCATCAGCCTTTCCACCGGTCCACTGCTGGTGATGGCTGCTCCAAGGTTTTGCCACAACTTCTGTCGTCTTTGATTCACGACCATTTCAGCTTCAACAAATTACTATATCTCATCCTGCTATCGACTTGGAGACCACTGTCTCTTGGAGCCCACTCTAATATCTGTTTGCACCAAAAATGATTTTTGTTGTTGCAACGTGTCCTGTCCATTACAGAGTGGGGGGGGGTACGCTGTTGCAATGACATCTGAGACCTCGTTTGTGTGCTTCCCCATTGATTCGTTTTCCTATTTTTTCTTGTTCCCCAACGTTCAACCGTCCATGCAGGATAGTGTCGCCAGTAG